TAGATGGACGGACAGATGGGGTGGATTGGCAGAATGGGTGGGTGGGTGGGTGGATAGGTGGATGAATGTATGGGTAGATGAATGGATGAGTAGGTGGATGGATGGATGTGTGAGTGGATGGGTAGGTGGATGGGCAGGTAGGTGGATGAATGCATGGATGGGTGGATGGGTGGGTGGATGAATAGGTGGGTAAATGAATGGATGGGTATAAGGGTGGATGGACTTAAGTGGACACAAGTAAGTAGATGGATGGGCAGTTGGATGGCTGGGTGGGTAGACGGATGGACTGATGAATACACAGGTGAGTGGATGGATGGATAGGTGGATGGGTGGATAGATGGGTGGGTAGGTGGGCAGATGGCTGCATGGGTACACAGGTGAGTTCATGGATGGGTAGATGGCTGCGTGGGTAGATGAGTGGCTAGGTGGGTAGATGGATGGATAGATGAATTCACAGGTAAGTGCATGCATGGGTGGATGGATCAGTGGACAGGTAAACGGACAGATGGGTCCACAGGTGAGCATGAGGATGGGTGGGTGGGTGAGTCCTGCAGTGCCTCTTCCCCACCCAAGCAACATTGCTTCCTACTTTCTCCATTCTTTTCCTGCCTCCAGCTTGTCACCTGCCCTCCCTCCTCCCATGTGCCCTCACCTCTAGTTTTATAGGGAAATGGAGGTTCTGCCAAAACTTCATGCCCCTTTTGCTCCTAGACCAGGGGTCACAAACCACAGCCCAGGGGCCAAATCTATATTTCAACCAGTCACACTCGTCGTGAGACACCAGGTTCAGTTCCAGCCCCTAAACTGTGCATGATATTGTCACGGCACGAACTCCCAGGAAGACCCAGGCACCTAGCTCGACAGCAAGGTCCACCAGCGATGCTGCAAACCTCAGCAAGCAGCAGTGCTTCAAATACCAGCAGCTTCTATGTTGGAGTCATGTCTTCCTCCCTCTTTTTCTCTGTTCCCCCTCCCCTGGCACCAGCAATAGTCCCGGTCCCTCCATGAAAGCAACAGCAGTCCAACCAGCTGCTCCACCAACAGGTCCTCAACATGACAGACACTGTGCCAAGTACGTCCCAGCCTCAGAACCATCCCAGTGTAGGTACTGTTAGTCTCCCCCTCTGTTAGAGGGGAAGCTGAGGCTCAGAGCAACATGCCAAGCACACCTAGGGGAGAAGGGGGGAACCTCAGCTTGAACCCAGAGCCCTGGCACTGCCCACCAGCTGCACTGCCTCAGCCTCTCCTGGAAAGGAGGCAGCACTGCTTCTTTGGGAGGGGACAGCCATGTTCTGTGGCCCGAGGCAGATGGGCCAGTCCCTCTGCCCTTGCCCTGTCCTACTGGACTGACATCTGTCTCAACACTCCCACAGGATAATCATTCCTTTGGAGAACACCTTCCTGCTTGCAAGTTCTCAGCAAAAATGCTCAGGCATCCGGGGAGGATGGTGGCAGGTGAGGTCCACCTGTGAAGACCTTTAAAGACCTAACTCATTGGTCATGCCAGATACGGATGGGAAGAGACAGTAGAGGAAAACTCCAGCAAATGCTCTAATTCAGCTCCATGGCAGAGCATGGCAGGCCTCAAAGATGGGGTGCACTGAGCCTCTAGGACCACTCCATGAGGCCCACTGCCCCAGCCAGGCTGGGGACCCCAGCTGCACCCCTGGCCAGTGGCCATCCTGCAGGCAGCTCCACCCACTCAGGTTCCAGCCAATACCTGCATCGTCAGGGTGGGCATCAGTAGGCAGCTGCTCATCCAAGGAGGGGAGGTCTGTCCCGGTGGCCAGGGGGCTTCCTGGCTGGGCATCGTCCAAGGTGAGGGCTTCCTGTTGGGGTGGGGACGGCTCACTCTGCATGCCTCGCGGGCCCCCACTGGGGTTGGCTTTGCTCTCAGCATCTGCAAGGAAGGCAGCTGTCAGGTGAGCCCCACCCCACCTGTCCTTTCATTCTCAGGAAGAACCTTCCTGCAGGGTGGATGGTGGGTCCAGGCACTCCCCACCTGGGAAGCCCACGCCACATCCCATCTTCCTAAGAAACACAGCAGGCGTCCTGACACATCTTGGCACTGGCCTCCAGGCCCCACCCTGGACAATCTCCAACGCCAGCACCTCGTGGGAGACTACATGGTGGCCCCCATCTTCCCCACCCAGATTTCACCCTCTGCTTTGCAAATGCCTGCCTGTTCTGACCCTGGCTTTAGCCAATGGGACACCAATGGGTTTGATATAAGCTGTGGCTTGATGAAGCACTTGTACACATCCACATGTCCCTTTGTATCTCTGCCCCCCATGGGGACATGCTGGCCAGCCTGCGGGAGGACACGAGAGATGGGGAGTAGGCCTGAGCCATCCCCATTCTGATAAGTAAAACTATCTCAGATTGGCTGATGGTGGACAACTCAAGACAGAGAGCAGGAGACCACTGAGCACCCCTGAGGTTCCAGGCTGGCGGTCCCACAGCATCACTATGGTCGCAGACGACCAAGGACCTCTGGCATCCACTGTTTGACCAGCAGTCACCCATCAGCAAATGTTCACAGATCACCTGCTGTGCGCCTGGCACCGTGATGGACCACGCGACTCTCGTCACTTGTCAGCAAACACAATCACCCACTGTGTGCCTGGCACTGTAATGGACCACCCAACTATCAGTCACCCATAAGCAAATGCTCACGGATCACCTACTGTGTGTCTGGCACTGTGATGGACCACCCAACTGTTGGTCACCCATCAGCAAATGCTCACAGATTAGCCACTATGCATGTGGCACCATGATAGACCACCCAACCATTGTCACCTGTCAGCAAACATTCACAGATCACCAGCTGTGCACCTGGTACCATGACGGACCACCCACAACTGTTGGTCACTGGTCACTAAACACTCACAGATCACCTATTGTGCTCCTGGAACTGTGACAGACCCTGGAAGGGCCAAGATGGATAAGACACAATCCTTGCCCCTGGGCAGCTCCCATCTGTGAGAAGGCCACTCAGATGACCACATGTGGCACCACAAGTCCTGGAATGGAGACATGGCCCAGGACCAAAGGGGGTACCACACAGGGGTCTTTCCAGAACAGATGGTGCCAAGGCCCCCAATAAGTCTTCAAGAGGGGCCTGGAGCTTCAAGGGCTGGCTCTGGCTGACAGTCCCCAGAGAGGTCCATGACTGATGAGGGGCTCAGCATGCGGGAGCATAAGGAAGTGGTCCTGGCCCACAAAGTGGTGGTCCAGAGGCCCAGCCCATTAACCACTACCACCCCTTCTCAGACCCAGCCACAGCCCGATGCAGAGTGCCCATGTGGTCCTCTGCAGACCCCCTCAGGCCTTGTGGCAGGTTTAGGGAGCAAGGTGCCAGGGGCAGAGCCACCAGGCAGCAGCAGTGTGGGGACTCTAACTTATCCTCCCTCTCCCAACCCCTGATGCTGTTTCCCCTCCTCGAGGGGGGCGGGAGGAGGAAAAGTTGATCAGAGCGGGGTCTCATGTGTGCAGATCAGCCTGGTACAAGCCTGCTGGCCCTGTGACCTGGAGCAGGCCCGTCACTCGCAAAAGTGCCCTGGTCCGGACACCTGGTTGGTCACCTAGGCGAGTGCCCTACCAACCACAGGTGGGATTCCCTTTGCTCATACAGCAAACTTTTCTGGGCCTCAGTATCAGCACCTAGAATGCTCTCTGGGCCTAAGCTTCCTTTCTCTTCCTTGTAAGGATATCCAAATAGATGTTGCTGAAGGTTGGGCAATCTATTTCCGAGGTGCCTCAGAAACCCAAGGAGGGGTCGCTAGGAGTCGGATGCGACTCCACAGGGTGTGTTGTCAGGTGCCACTGAGTTGGCTCCAACTCTTAGCGACCCCACGTCCAACAGAACGAAACCCCGCCTGGGCCTGCACCGTCCCCCAACCCTTGCTGTGCTTGAGCCCATCGCTGCAGCCACCGTGTCAGCCCATCTCGTTGAGGACCTCCTTCTCCTTCTCCTTCGTGTTAGGTGCCGTCAAGTTGGTTCTGATTCAGAGTGACGCTACGTACAACAGAACCGAGTGCGGCCCAGTCGGGCACCAGCCTCATTCCTGCTGCATCTGAGCCCATTACTGCAGCCATGCTCAGTCCATCTTGTTGAGGGCCTTCCCCTTTTTGCCTGACCCTCCACGTCACCAAGCATGATATTCTGCTCCAGGGAATGGTCCCTCCTGACAACATGACCAAAGTAGGTGAGGCGAAGTCCGGCCGTTCTCACTTCTGGGGAGCATGCCGCCTGCACTGCCTCCTGGACAGATCTGTTCACTCTTCCGGCGGGCCACAGTGTTTTCAGCATCCTTCACCACCACAACTCAAAGGTACGGGAGCTCCTTGTTTGTAAGATGGGGATGCTACCCCTACATCAGTTTGCGGAAGCAGTGTGAGGATTAAACGAGGTAATAAACGTGCCGTGCCTGGCCGACGGCACCACTCACGTGCTGGTTTTCATACTGTTGCTGATGCTGACATCTTTGGCTGAGGGTGATAGGGGAGGAAGATCTGACCTACTAGGCCTAGGCCAGTGTGTCCAGGGATGAGAGTAGGCCTTCAAGCTGGGGTGCCCACCCATCACCCCAGCCCCATGCCATGCCCCTGCACCCATGGGACCCTCCGAGGGACTACAGTTTGTAAGTATTGCTTATTCTGTTCCTTTACTGCTCTCAAAGGACAGCAGAGGGGATGACAGAGGGGCCACCCTGTCTGGGATCAGGGGGTTTGGGCCAGAGGGATCTCATCTAGATAACACAGACACACACCATGCACATACTCACATGCATTTATGTACACATGCACACTCATACCATGTACACACCTGTACACAAGACACACTCGCATGCACACATGTATATGCATGCACACATGCACTCACATCACACAAACTCACACCATGCACACATATGCACACATACCACGCACACACCCACATACACATATGCACACATGAACACAAAGACCATGCACATACATGCATGCATGCACCCACGCATACTCTCACCACACACATGCACACATGCACACACACCATTCACACATATGCATGTATACACACTTCACACAGCATGCACACATGTGCACAGGCATGCACATGTAGCATCATGTACATGTATGTATGCAAACATACACCCTCACACCATGCACATACACACATGCATGCATTTACACATGAATGCATTTGCACCATGCACACTCACACACATACATATATGCACACACCACACACACATGCATATATGCACACATGCACTCACACTGTGCACAGAAATGCACACATGCACTCACACCATGCACACAAATGCATGTGTGCACACATGTACACACACATGCATGCACACATACACAAATTCACTCCTTTGTGCTCATGCATAAACACACACACACACACACAAACCTGCCAGAGGGTCTAGGTAAGAGACCAGCACCTTTTCCCTGCAAAGGACCAGATGGTAACAACTATAGACTTGGGGGCTACATGCCATGTGATGAGACAGTCTTCTGATTTTTTTCTATCAAAACAAGATGTAAATGTGTCAAACACCATGCTTAGCTCATAGGCCATATCTGATATGCCACTACAGTTGGCCGACCAGCCTCTGGCTGAGACAAAGGGCTAGACACAGGCAAGAAAACTCACCATGTAGACAAAATTCAGCACCATAGAGAAGACCCCACACACGTGTACGTGCTATATACATACCCAAACAATGCACTACACAAATGCATAAGTGCATGAGTGTGCACACATATACATGCATCCCACACATGCACTACATGCACACATGCAAACGTGTGCAGACACCTTGTCCCCACACTTCTACCACACAGATGTGACGCAGACTTGGCTGGGCCTTGTCCAGTCCCCCTGAGGACCGCCTGCCTCGCGTCTCAGGTCAGTGAGCACAGCACCAGGGTATCAGCACTTTTTATATCTGCCCATGATGGAGCCGCAGGGCGCCTCTCTCGTGGCAGATTCTCGTACACGTCACCCACGAGGAGCGTCCCAGCCCTTGGGGGTACGGGGGGATGACAACGGCTGACGCTGCCTGAGTGCTGATGAGCTACAGAGACGTGGACCCAGCACATCCCGAACCTGTGCTCCCAGAGTTTCACACTGCTCTGCTGCCACAGGGCAGACACAGAATCTAGATCGGAGGCATGTGCTGCCACTGCCAATCTTCATAAAGGACAATGCCGGGCCTCCATCAACACCGTCATCCACAGCAGCGATCGCAGGGTCACGACCAAGAACCTGGAAGGTCCACAGGCCTCCAGCCTTTCCTGGCACAGATCCTCCCGTGTCATCCACGTGCATGCACATACAGAGTACACACATCCGCACATCTGTGCACATGCATAAGCCACACACACGTTAGTCAGTGGCCTAACGGAGGCTCCCACCAGCACAGCATCCCACATTCCTCCCCTGCGCTGGCAGGACTTTCCGGGACTGTGCTCAGCCCTCCGGCTCCTGAGCAGGCTCAGTGAAAGGTCACGGCTCCCAAAATAGCCCTGGTAGCAGAGCTGTTGCTAAGAGATGTGGGGGAGGAAGGTGGTGGGCGGCCCATCCCGGCTCCTCTCACTGTGCGGGCCACGCCTCCTCCAGCCCGCCCCCAAGCCAGCCAGCTGCCTGTGCTGCTCTGGTGCCCTCTGCTTCCCAGGGCTGGGAGCCTGGGTGTGCACAAAGCAGCCACGGGAAGGGGTGCACCCTGTACACATCCACCCACGGCACACACTCCCACACAGGCCTGCATGCACAGTACACACACAGTGCACACACTACACGTGTGTGCACACACACAGGCACAGATCTACCCATGTCACTGTGTGCATACACAGAGAACACACATCCACACATCCATGCACACAGATAGCCCACACACATTTGCATATGCACATACATGCACAGTGCACACATGTGCACCCACATCACACACCAGTGCAATGCAAACACAGCTACACGTGTATATACATATAGACCCACATGCATGTGTACAGCATGTATAGCCTCACACATGCACACTGCACACATGCCTGTGTAGATGCAGTGCAGCCACAGTGAGGTGGTGTGCCCTACACATACCCACACACATGCACACACCCTCCCATGTGTGTGCACACAAAGCACACCCAATGTACCCTGTGCATGTACACACATGGGCACAGATCCACCCATGTGCATACACAGGGCACACACATTCACATACCTGTGCATATGTGTAACCCACCCACATGCACATGTACTTGCACACACATGCACAAACTCAAACATGCACAGTGCACACACATGCACATACATGTATATCCCACATGCACACTCCCTACCCCACATCTCTACTACACTGACACGAGACAGACTTGGTCGGTCCCCAAGGACCTCCCACCTTGTATCTTAGGTCAGTGGGCACAGCACCAGGGTACACCATGCTTTTAATATCTGTTCAATGATGCAGCTTGAAGTGCCTTAAGTTATTTAGGAAAGCACCCCGTCACCACAGACCAGAAGATGGAGAGTCACTTAGGAACATGAGTGGCAATGTCTGGCAGTGAATCCCACAGGCTCATTCATGACTGATTTCCTCTGGGCAGGGCAGCCTGTGCAGAGCCGTGGGCACACGTACATAGCAGAGATGACTTGCAGGGTTAAGTGGCTCATAAACACCCATATCAATGGCATAATATATGCTCCCCTTCCAGAGCAGGGCAGATCCGGGCCCTGGAACCAGGCTGAGCCCCCGTTTGTGGGTACCCTCTTGCAGGTCTTACCTGAGGGCAGCTCGCCATGTCACATGCTCTATCTGTCCTACAGGCAAACCTTGGGGCCACCTGACAGTGTGTGTGTGTGTACACACCTGTGCATGTGTGCTGGGGGGCAGAGTTGGGTGGCATTCCTAGGGCTCATCCTGGCTCAGAAAGTTCAGGAGTGAGTTCTTGGGGAGTCTTGGAGAATCTGAGGGGCAGACTCACACAGTGTACACTGTGTGTGCACACATATGGGAAAATGTGTCCATGTGTGTGGGGATGTGTAGGGTGCACACCCCTCACTGTGGCTGCACTGCATCTACACAGGCACACGTGTGTGTGTGTGCGTGTAGTGTATGCGTGGGGGTATACATATTTGCATGCGCACATGCGGGTATATATGTATATATGCACGTGTGTCTGTGTGCATTGTGTTTGTGATGTGTATACATGTGTCACTGTGCGTGTTGGAGTGTGTGCATGCATGTTGCTATGCATGTATGCGTTTATGCATGTGTGGGTGGGTTCTACATGTTCACAGCCTCACCATCACCTCCTCAGCCTCCCAGACATCTCATCCCACAGCAGGTGCAGTGACGGAGAACGGCCACAGGGGCGCACTCCTGCTGCAGGGACAGCCACCACTCTGGCAGAAGGTGGCGCTCAGGGGATGGATTTGTGGATTCCTTAACCCAAACTCAGGAACCACCTCCTCAGCATCCTCACACCACCAAACCCCCAGCCTCCGAAAGGGGAGGGGCCTGCCCTCCCACCTGGTGCGCTGGTCCTCAGGTCCAACCCTCCTGGGCTGGGCAGCAATAAGGCACCTGTGGTAACCACTCCCATGGGCCCACACAGGCCCACAGGACCCAGGCCAGGGTCAAGTCAATGGGGCAGTGGCTGGCCTAGAGCTCGCCTCAGCCCTGCCTGAGCAAAAGCATTTCTTGGCAAGTAAACGACAGGAACACATCGCAAGGGACATATTAGCTTGCACAGTCTCTGCAAACGTCTTCCTACTTCCTATTGTTGCTGTGTGTTTGTACAGGACACACACACACACGCACATACACACACACGGTAAAGAGCCCACACGGTACAGAAAGGGGGTCCAGTGTGAAAATGTGTCTCCCGCTTGCTCCCCTCCCCAGAGGCAGCCACAGTGGGAGGCTGCCCATGGCTGTGGACAAGGTCCGGGCTGATCCACCCAGTCCACTCGCCCTGTGGGCCAACCCCAGGCTCCCTCAGGTGCTGGGACATGAGGTCACTCAGCCTGCTCTTAACAGAGTCTGGAGTTTTCTCGGTTTTGTCCATGTCCAGGACTTACTGAAAGGAGCACTCAGGGACCCTTTGGGCCCAAGCCCCCTCCCCCTCTCCACCCTCTCCTTCCTAACACCCCACCCACCACGCAGCACTCGGGATTCCTTCCCTCACCCTGCCCCCAAGCACCACAGGGCCTCTGCACACGTGACTCCTGTGGACTGGACGGCTCCATCCTGGCGGCACGTGAGCGAGGGGATCCGAGTATGGAGATATTGAAGCCCGCTGGGTCCCACTCTAGAACATCTGATGGGACTGTGCTGCCACGAGGTTTTGAAAGCACCCCCCAAATTCTAACGGGCAGCAGACTCAGGAACCAGCCTGCTCTCCTCCCGACCACCTTGGGTCTTGCTGACACACCCCTCCCTGAGCCCCTGGCTGGGTCAGGCCTCGTGGCATGTGCTTAGGGTGCCCGAGCCTTTCCTTCCCCACACTCTGCCAGCCTCAGCCTATGTGTGTGCTTGTGGCTCTCCTAATATGCGCCCTGGGGGAGCACTACTGGCTCATCTGTGAGCCCTGCAGTGAGCCTGCAGCCTGGTGCGCAGTAGTTGTGGCTGAGAGTTTGGGGAGCTCCCGTGTGTGTGCGTTCTGAGCTCAGGAGTGCAGACGGTGCCCCAGGCCCCGCCAGGGCCCTGACCACATTGCACAGCAAGAGGGAAGGAGAGACCCGAGCAGGAGTCGGCAAGCGTCGGCCTTCCCGGTGAGTCACGAGTACTTTCTACATTTTCAGCGTTATGATCGAAAGGACTGTAACAGCTACAACACTTAACCCTGTGTGCAATTCAGATTCTAGCTTCCACAGATGCTTGGCAGGCACACAGACATGCTCATGCGTTCATGCATCATGGATGCTTTCACGCCACAGTGGCAGGGTCCAGTCATTGTGGAAGACCTCAGTGACCTGCAAAGCCAAACGTTTCCTCTGTGACTTTACAGCGAGAATGTGCTGGCCCCTGATCTACAGTAAGCTCCTGAGAGAGCAGGCGGGTGACACCCCTGTAAACATGGGGTGCCTGCAGCAAGGGGCCCACAGCATCAGGACCAGGCTCTCCATCACAGCTCCAAGCATCCATCTCTGGGCCTCAGTTCTAAGTCCATGAGACGAAACCAGTGTTCAAAACTTCCGAGTTCCAGAACGACCGCCTCACTGTCCTCCCTGTGACTTTTCATCTGTCACTTGACTTCTGTCAGAATCAGACTGACTTTTCTCTTTATTCTTGATTCATCATGATACTGCTTTTCAGGGCAGAAGACAAGCAGGCCTCACACAGATTCCATTTCTCTTCCCCAAAGAGCCCTGGTGGTATATCAGTTCAGTGCTCAGCTTCTAACTGAAAGGCTGGTGGTTCTGCAGGAGACACCTGGCAACCTGCTCCCATCAGGATCACCGCCAAGGAAACCCTACGGGGCTGCTCCATCACATGGGGTTGCCGTACTTTGGACTCAGGGGCACAACAGCAAGATCAAAGGACTGGTGGTTGGCGACATACTCAGAATGCAAGCGTCGGGGACTGTTTATTCCACGTGAATTAAAACAGTGCCGATTTCAGCAAAGACCTTCCTCCAGACCTGAGTGTGGAAACTGCAGCACGGCTAGGATGCACAGGCCCTGCAGACAAGCTCGCTGCCGCACACACTTCACTACCAGCTGAAGCCTCTTGCCCTCAGTGCTCGGCAGAGCAGCAAAGCAGTGGACCCTGCATCCCTAGAAGGAAAGTGGTGCCCACAGGTTCGGGCCAGAGGTGGGCTGGTGGGCCTGTCAGGCAGGCCAGGGCACCCGTTCGCTCCTGATGCCTTCCTAACTCCAGGTACTTTGAGTGGATTCCAATGACAGTGTGATGTGTTAAGGCTGAAAGGGAGAGATAGGAATCTGATGATTCACATCACCCTTGGGAACTGGCTCTGGGAGGCTGGAGCCCTTAAATATGCAGCAAGAGCTAGGTCTGGCTCCAAAGAGAGGTCAGCGGGCCAGTGAGATGCTGGGGAACTTCCACCCAAGCCTTAGAGCCTCTGAGCTCTAGAAGCCTCGAGGAGTCCACACCACAGTCCCAGCCCTGGGCCTGCCGCCTGCGGACACCAGTCTCGGAGAGCGGGGAACTTGGAGAACGGAAGAATCTTGTCAATTGACTGGACTAGGGATAACGCAGTGAATCAGACGTGCAGACGCCACGGCGGAGACCCAGAGAGCAGAAGGCCACCTCCCAGACCCTCCAACCCCCTTCTCAGGGCTGCAGGGAAGGAGCAAGAGATGAGGGTGGCACGTGCTCAGGCAGCTCGGGGTGCACAGTGGGTGCCGGTGAGAGAAGGGACGGCAATTTGCCCAAATCGAGGATTAAAACGGGACCGGGAAAAGAAATTGAAATCGAGAAAACGACACGTAGTGCTCCCGATTAGGAGGAATCATGGCGAACCGTTAGCTGATCCACATCCCGCTCTGGAAAGCAATTAGCCAACTAACCAAGTCAGCCCAGGGCCCCAGCAGGAGGCGCCATCCCACTCACGGATGGGCTCCCAGGGACCCACCGGGAGGCGCCGTCCCACTCACGGATGGGCTCCCAGGGGCCCCTGCGGCTGACCTATTGAGTCCTCGACTTGGGAGATTTCTCCGAGTCTCCATTTGGGGTCAAGGCCCTGTCGGAGAGTGGGGTGCCTCTGAGGTCAGCTCCGCCCCCCAGTGGGCTCCCACGCGCGCAGCTCGGCCTGCCGGGCACCGCCACTTACCCTGCTGCATCATCTCCAGCAGCCCCTTCTTGATAAGCTCCTCTCGACCTTGCCTGCCGGCCATCTTCTTCTCCAAGGCTGCACGACACACGAACGCAAGGTCAACATGGCCGCGGGGCCCACGGCGAGCCCCGCCAGCACCGAGGCCCACCAGCACCGCCCTCGTGTTTACAGAAAGGACAGGGACGGAACAGGTGAGCTCGGGGCAGAAGGCCTGGGCCGCTGGGGGTGGTGCCGTGTGCCCAGCAGTCCTGAGGACTCTTACCAAGCGGTCCTTTGGGAATTGTACACAAAACAGTGTGAGGAAGGCACCTTCAGGGGACAGCAGGGACCAGCGGTGACATGTCTGAAAAGCAAGGTCCCTCCCCAAGCTGGCTCCCCTGCCCATGCCCACCCTCCACCAAAGCCCCTTTGCTCACCGGCTGAGAACAGCAGCCTCGCTGTGCCCCAACGCCCCACGGTCCTCCCTCTGCCCAGCACCCCGGGGCCACTTTTTTGTGGTTCCCATGAGCCTATGTCCCACAGGCTGATTCCCTCCCTCTGGCCACAGACCACAGTCCTTCCTGCAGGTTTCCCACCAGAGACCCTCCCCAGTAAATCCCAGGTTAGTGGCTCAGAAAGTCAGCTAAGCTGGGAGTGCCTTTCCTCGGCCCCTAGCCTCTGGAGTAGCTCCTCTCCACTCCCTATCCAGGCGCTAAAGGGAGCCCTGGTGGTGCAATGGTTAAGTGCCCAGCTGCCAACCTACAGGGTGGTGTTTGAAACCACAGCAGTTCCGTGGCAGAAAGGCCTGGCAGTCCGCCTCTGCGGGCATGACGCCTGGGAGGCCCTCTGGGGCAGCCCTACTGTCACGTGGCGTCACCATGAGTTGGCATCAGCTCCAGAGCACCCAGCAAACACCACTCAAGCACCAAAGGCACCCTGCACTGGCCCCCGGCCGCGCGCCGCCTGTGTCCTCCGCCCCTGTCACAGGCTGGTCTCAGGCCTGCAGCTGATCATCACTTTTTGGCCCCAACTTTCCAGAAAGCACTATTTGTCTAAACTCCAATTTCCAAACACAAAATCAAGGAAGCCCCTGGATCCTGACTCGGGAGGCATAGACGCGCCCCTGCTCTGGAGCCCGGGCAGTGGGCGTGAGCTGTATGAACGGCTGCCCTGTGGTAAGAGCCACGTGACAACAGCCCAGCGTCAGCCCTGCCTCCTGGAGCTTAACATCTAGCGCTAGGGGGAGGCCGACCACAGCAGGTCACAGCCACACTGTCCTTCAGTGGTTCCAAAGACACTTACTGAACTCCTGCTAGGAGCCGACGCTGTGCTAGGGGCTGGGGTGCCCGGAGGGACTAAACCAACCCCACCCCACCCCCACGGGGTGTGGGATCCAGGGGGGCCAAGCAACACGGACGCAATGGTTGAGAGGCTCTTCAACTGAATGGGCTAATAAGACGCTCATCCAGCCCCCATCGTGGCCGGGCACTGCGCGAGGCGCTGGGACCAGACAGGCCTGGCTTCTGCCCAAGGTCAGCATGTTCTGTGAGGACAGTGCCACCTATGAGTGGGGTGCACGGGGTAACCCAGGACTAGAGGACATTAAGCGGCAGGGTTCTGGGGAAAGCAGACTTGGCCTGGGACACCCCGCCTCCCAGTGAGAAGGAATACTCCAGGGCTCGTGGCCACACTGAGGGTGGGACCTGAATCACTTGGCAAGCCCTCAGACCCAGCACAGCCTAGGCCCTGACCTGAGCCCCTCCCCCCCCAGACGAGTTCCCTGGACCTCTAGCGGCCCCACGCCCCCACCTGGACACCAAGCCAGACCAGCTACCCTGGATCTCTGGGGACGAACGCAGGCCCGTTTGGTCAAAACTCCTCAGGCCGTCCCAAGTGGCCACAGACGGGTGGGACAGGTCAGAGCTGCTCAGAGTGTGGTCAGCAGGGGCTTGTAAATGCCAGTGTCTCGGCTGCCCACGTGCCCTGAGCCAGGTCTGTTTTCAATGAGGTCCCCAGGTGGCCTGTGTGTGCCTCAAGCCTGGAGCCTCCCCCCGCGTGGGGAGTGGATGACAGGTTGCACGGTGCTGACTGGCCCCAGTCCGTGGGGTGGCTGGCTGGAGCCTGGAGAGCCAGTGGAGGGAGGTGGCCTGGAGGGAGGTGGGCAGCTCCTGGCCGCGGGCGCCCCCAGGACAGCCTGCCCCCCACGGCAGCGGGCTCTGCGGCACCCGTGCCGGTGATGCGCCCCGCCGGCCCCGCCCCTCGCGGGCTCACCTGAAGTCGTCTGTTTCAGCTTCTCGTTTTTCTTTTTCCTCCATTTCCAGGGCTTGAAGATCCGGCCCAGGGTGGCCAGCTTGCTGTTCCTCCGCACAGGGGGGGTTCGGGTCCCTGAGATCAGGCACTCGGAGCGCACGGGGGGTGTTCGGCCCAGCTCATCTGCAAACATGGGGGCCCGGTGACCACCGGGCCCCGAGATTCCCCGTAGGGCACCCCTCACCCCCAGGGGCCACCAGCTTCTCCAATGCCTCAAGCACACGGGCGTCATCCGGGAAAGGAGGCCGAGGTGTGCTGGGTGGCACACCAGCTCGCGGCTGTGGCCCCTCCCTGCCCGTGGTCAGCCCTCCCCAGGGTCCCTCCGACATTTGTACGAGCCCACAGCCCAGCCCTTCCGGCTCAGACCTGTGCACTGCTGGGCCAAGGCTGCTTTCCCGCCAGACCTGGTTTTGCCCAATAAACATCAGTCAGCCAGCCCAAATCTCCTTCCTCCAGGAAGCCCCTCCTCTCCCTCCTGTCTGAGACCAGGCTCTGAGGGTGGCAGGACCTTCTGGGATCTGCCCTTCCTGGGCCCGGTGTGTCTGGGTGCAGCCTCAGGCCCTTGCCTAGGGCTGCCCGGCAGGACCTCTGCAGGGCAGGGCAGGGAGCAGCCCTGCTATCCACCCCTTCCGTGTGCAGGAAAATGAAGCCACCTGAAGAAGCACTGTGGGGTCTGTCGGATAGGGTTACTATGAGTCAGGATCGACTCAGCAGCAGTGGACTTGGGTTTGGTGGGGTGCGGTGGAGGTGGGGCTCTGGCTGCTCCATTTATCATGAAGTGACCAAGTGCACACCCACTCGTGGGCCTGGCTGAGCAGCTGCCCACAGGCTCAGTGGCCCACGGCAGACTGGGACAGAGGAGGGCAGGCCTGTGTGTGTAGGTGGGGACTGTCCAAGAGAAATGGGGAAGCCAAGAGAAAGAGAGGCACTGAGCCCCAGAGCAATGCCACCCATGTGGGGGTTGATGGTCTGCGGCCAGCACACTCGGAGAAAGTCCTGCAGGACCACAGACCGAGTAACGCTGGCCGCGTGGGGCTGAGAGAGGGAGCCTTCACACACCATGGGCTGCTCTGTGGTGTACGGTATGTCAGTTTGTAACGAAGATTAGCTGAAATGGAAAATAACCTGCAAACAACAAGATGGCCAAGTTCCAGAACTGTGGGACATCTTCATCAGCTCACCCTGGACCCAACCAACGGTCATGGCAGAGCGGAACCCAGGCTGTCCATGGATGGGGAAGTCCCGTGTTGTGCTGTCCCCGCCCCCCATCCTCATGACACCAGGAAGGGGAGTTTCCGGTTTTTATCTCCCAGTGTGTTTGTGGAAGTCACAGACCTGCTGGTGTCCCCAGCACAGTGCCCAGCCCTTCAGTCCAGACCTCAGACCTTGGCCAGGACCCACCTACCCAACACACACTCATGAATACACACTTGTACACACATGCACATGTACACTTCCACCACCCCGAGCCTGCAGCCTCCTGTCAGCCTCCCACGGCCAGGGCCAGGGCGTGTTCGATCGGTTAACTCTGCCAGCACCTGGAGGAGGAGTCTGGCAACCCCGAGTTTACAGAGACCCCAGGAGCTCCCAAGGGACAAGCCCATGCTGAGGGGCAGGACTGCAGAGAAGCAGCGAGCAGGCCAGGTCATCCGGTGGAAGGGGTCGGGGGCTGGGGCCTGGGGCGGGCTGTCACCTGTGCATCCAGTGATGGGTCTGCAGCCCCCCTTCCCACTCGAAGCCAATGCCACCTGCTTCCCTAACGAGGCCCCTTGGGGCCCATCCCAAAGCCAGGTCTGCAGAGCTCAGGGAAGGAGAGCCACTCTGGAGTGCTGTCCAAGTCTGAGTGCACAACACCTCACAAGCCAGGGTCTCTCCGCTCTCCAGACCTCAGACCTTGGCCAGGACCCACCTACCTGACACACACTCATGCATACACACATGTACACACAGCCCTTCTGGACTCCTGAAGGGTTCTGTCCGCTTAGCCCTCAGTTTCCCCACCTGTCAAATGAAGACTATAATCATCCCTGATACCCAAAGTGGACAGGAAGATTCAGTGTGGCCCCAGTCACGAGGTGACATAAAGTCTCGGAACAGAAGAACATATGCAACTCACGCCACACTGACAGCACGTGCCAACACGTGACAGCACATGACAACATGTATAAACATCATCCTCTGCTTCTAGTCCTCCCTGCCATCCTGACTGCAGAGCACACAGTGGCTTTAGGGGAGTCCTCCAGCCCCTCTATAAATACAGTAACAGCCATCAGCGGGGGGGTCACTTGTGCTTTCTCTGTGCCAGCCGCTGTCCTGAGGCATGATCTACTTTCACCCTCTCAACAAAGCCGGGACATGGGGACTGCCGATACCCATGAACAGCTGATCAAACCAAGGCTCAGAGCAGTGCACCATTTCATCGAAAGTCACACAGCGAGACGCAAGGGGTGGGGCACGACCCGAGCAGCCTCGCTCACGTCCAGAGCCTGTTCGTGTCCCTGCACCCTCCCTACGGTGACAGCATTGACTTACCATCCAGGACACAGAGGGATGGGACTCCAAGACCAGAGGCAGAGACCAGGAACTTTGGCCAGCAGGGGTGTGTGTTCATGCCTGTTTTCTATTTTATTTGGGTTTGTTTTATAGCAGCTTCATTTGTTGTTGTTCATTGCTGTCAAGTTGATCCCCACTCATACGTGGACCCCACGTATATAGACATAGACCCCACTTACGTAAAGTAGAACAGTGCACTGCAGAGTTTTCAAGGCTGCCCCTTCCGGGAGCAGGTCACCAGAACTTTCCCTGAGCACCTCTGAGTGCATTTGAACTGTCGATCTCTCAGCTGGCAGTCAAGCAGTTAATGGTTGGTGCCACTGGGACTCCTGCTACAACAGCCTTATCGAGCTACGACCCACAGGCCATGCCATTAACCCGCTGAAGTGCAGGCAGTGCCAGACTTTGACATTCTCGAGTTACGACAAACTGTACTTACGACTCTCGTTCGTGCATTTTATCATTAGTAGTATGTGTGTATGCACACACAGGTGAACATATCTGTAAATTTATATGTAATGCTTCCAACCACCAAGAAAAATAAGGGTCAGATTTATAAAGGTACTAGTAATAAAAGGCAATAATGAAAACAACAAAAAAAGAGGTAAAGGATTTAGGTGAGAACTGACTCAGGATGGAGTTAGTGCCATGTGGACACAATGCACTGGTTCCTTGTCTACTCAGAGCTGTGCAGCCATCACCACGCTCCGTTTCAGGACACGCCATCAGTCCCAAACCCCCATGTCCATCAGCACTCACTCCCTGTTTGTCCTCGACTCTCAGCTACCGTGACTGTGCCAAGAGCCATGTCCACAGTCCGTAAAGCAACTCCACGCGGAGAAGGCCACTCTACTTGTGACGAGCTCAGGGGTTCCTGCTAACGGACATCTGCCTGCTCACTCGGCAAACCGCCCAGGACAGACACAACAAGGTTCTCCACCTGGCTCTCATTAGTGACCCACTTACCCAGCACCTGGCACCCATGGGGTACCCGGAATGGTGGGTGAGGGGTGACATCCTCTGCCACCATCTCCCCCAGCCCCACACTCCTCACCCCTTCTCCTCCTGACGTAGTTTATTCCATGTGATTTTGCCTTGCCGTCCTCCACCCACGACTCCAGATGGGAGCAGAACTGCATGTGCCAAGGGGCCCAGGAGAGCTGGCTGTCCTGGAGCCATTTCTGGCACGATGAGAAGACAGCTGGCCAGGGCTCTCCAAGCCCTCCACGCTGTCTGGGAGATGAAGAGAGAGATCCTTGGAGATGAAGGAGATTGTCACTGCTTTGCTCACACCTCACCTAGTTCTGCAAAGGACCTGCAGCAGTACTAGGCACATGCAACAAGAGGAAGTCAGTAGTCAAGGACTTCAGTGGCAGGGGTCCCAACCAGGGGGTAGGAGAATCCCCACAAGAGACACCACAGGTCGCCAGAGTTTCCTAGTGGCCAAAGCAAAGAGAGAAGTACATAGAATAGCCTTCCAATCAGATCCAGAATCCAGCTGTCTGTCACTTCCATCTGTGATCTTTGTCCAAACCCCCACAGTCTCTAACACAGAGGTCTGCACCGACTTCAAATTGATACCCCCGTGTCCACTCTCACATTTCTACAATGGATCATGTGCTCCTCAAATGCTGTTCTCATGAGCTGGTGTGGACTCAGCCCTAACCCACGCGGAGCCCCGCACAACAAAACAAAGCACCGCCTGGTCCTGCCACCCCCATGACACGGCTGTTGTGACGGGTTTTCAGAAAGCTGTCAGGCCCTACTTCCTGGTCCATCTTAGTCTGGAAGCTCCACTGAAACGTGTTCAGCATCCTAGGAATGTGCACATCTCCATAGACAGACCCATGGAGGCTACACACGAAGGAGCACCGGTTGGGAATCAAACCCGGGTCGCGCTAATGGAAAGCGAGAATTCTGCCCTCACTTCTTCGACAGATACACCAGCAGAACATCAACAGGCCATGGCCAGAAACTCCAGCTGGATTCAGAAGATGACACGGAACAAGGGATATCACTGCTGATGCCAGATAGATCTTGGCTGGAAGCAAAGAAAACCAGAAAGATGTTTACCTGTGTTTTATTGACTATGCAAAGGCACTCGGCTGTGTGGATCATAACAAATTATGGATAACGTTGAGAAGAATGGGAATTCCAGAACACTTAATTGTACTCATGAGGAACTTGTACATAGACCAGGAGGCTGTTGTTTAAGCAGAACGAGGGGATGCTGCATGCTTTAACATCAGGAAGGGAGTGTGTCAAGATTGCATCCTTTCACCACACTTATTCAATCAGTATGCTGAGCAAATAATCCAAGAAGCTGGATATCAGGATTGAAGAAGCATGGGCATCAGGATTGGTGGAAGACTCATTAACAACGTGTAATATGCAGATGACACAACCTTGCTTGCTTAAACTGAAGAGGACTTGAAGTACTTATTGATGAAGATTAAAGACCACAGTCTGCAGTGTGGATTACACCTCAACACAAAGAGAACAAAAATCCTCACAACTGGACCAATCAGCAACATCATGACAAATGGAGAAAAGATTGAAGTTGTCAGGGA